GGTTACCGCTAATCTTTTCTGTCTCTCTGGATTTGTCTATCCTGGACACGGCATATAAAGAGAAGCATATGCCATGCGTGAGCACCCCTTCCGTGACCAGTGCTCTGCCAAGTAGCCAATCCGGTTTGGGTTTGTTGTGGTTTTGAACCACAGGAAGTTACAGGTGGCATTCTGTGGGCCTCCTCGTCTGTAGAGCTGGGATTTCTATTTTTAGCTCCCATCACCTTCTCAGTGATGCCCTGGCTCTGCCTGGCCATTTGCACTAATGTCCTCAGGAAGCAGACAGCCCATCACGTCGCTTCCTTTCTGGGGCTGGTCCAGCGGCTGGAGCAGACGTCTGCCCTGCGTGGTTTGGGCACGACGCCCTGGCATGGACGTGCCGACACCTCAAATCCCTGGCCACGCTTGCGGGAACCTGCGGCGGCTCTTTGCTTGCCCCCCTGCCACACGGCCCGCTCTCCGTGTGTTCGCTTTGATACCTGCCTCCTGCAGTCACCTACCTTCTCCTTAAAGAAGCTTCTAGACTCGGTGCTTTTGTTTGCCGTGTCCCCACATCCCGAGATGGCCTTGCCCCCGTCCTGCTTCCTTGGCGAACTCCTCCTTTGAGGCTCGGTTCAAATGTAACGTCCTAGTCGGGGTGGGGAAGCCACAGCTCCCTGGCCTGGGGTCCTACTGGCTCCAAGGAGAGAGGGGAAGGGCCCGGCCACACTGAGCATGCCCAGTCCCTTCCTCCAAGCTCACTCTCCCTCCCAGGACACAGCGCCAGTGCAGAGGGTATCCGTAGAGTGAGTCCCAGTTAGGGTCCCCCATGCCTGCTGGTACATCTAGTATTGCCACTCTGAGTAGCTCCATCACGGAGTTGTTTCCTTTTGGGTGGTCCAGTCCGCTGCTTTCCAGATAATGCCATTGCCGACCTTCACGGCCACCACAGCCCCTCATCCCAGTCCCTGTGACCATGAGTCCTGGCCTCATTTCCTGAGCTGCACATTCCATCTGACTCTGAAAATCGCGTGGCGCTTGATCTGGAATGATGTCCCTGGTGGACTCCTCACCCTCAGAGTGATGGTCTAGCCATGCGTGGATTGCACTTCCGTGAATTCGGGGCATGTGGGCCGCATGGCTGGGAGGGATGCTGCGGTGGGCACCCCCCGACAGGACTTCCCGTCTCAGGAATGGCTTTCCTCCGTCCTCACCGCTTTCACTGCGTCCTGTCCGATCTCGCGCTGCCTTTACCTCCAGACTTGATAGGATGTTTATCTAACTCGCCTCCGTCCCCCGCACCCCAGATTCATCTGTGACTCGGGGGTTTCAGACGCCTGTGTCTGGTGTGCCTGGCACGTGCCTCGCCTCTTGGGAGTGGCCCGTGCCTTTTTGTCCATCTTTTGGGCCCACCCTCTTCATAGTAGATACACAGCAGAGACATTAAGTGTGACTAAAAGAGGGCCATCTGTTGTCATCACTTTCCTCTGTTCCACCCACCACTCTTCATCCCCCCACTTGAGGGAAGGTGTGAAATCGGCAGCCTCCCCCCACATGGTGACTGGAACGTCCCTCAGCAAAGCAAAGCGGCCCACGGCCTGCCCCCGCATCCCCGGCCGGGTGTCCCTCCGCGGACAGTTTTCAGCACCGGATTTCATAGGGGGCCGTGTTCCTTCCCCTAGAGCGGAGATTTTAGGTTTAGTTTTTATTGTTGCGCGTTAAGATTTTAAAGTGGATGTGTTTGGTTTTTATAGCAGCAGCATATATGTATACACTGAGCGTTTTTCTTGTCTAATCTCTTCTGTAGGTGATGGATTTAAATGGGGACAGTCGTCTGCATTACGGCCTCCAGGGCTGGGGATGCAGAGGGGCCCGAACGTGTCTTCTCCCCC